ACATTCATTGAACAAACATGAACGCTAGGGATACACAAGTCAAAAAAGCATAGGGGGATGCAATAAAATACCACTTGGTACCCACCAGGCAGATAATAATACAGGTTGAAGATTCCTTATCCAAAATGCTTGGGACCAGAAGTGTTTTGGATTTTGGATTTTGGAATATTTGCTTTATACTTACAAGTTCAGCATCCCTAATCAAAAAATCCAAAATCTGAAATGCTCCAATGAGTATTTCCTTTAAGCATCATGTCAGTGTTCAAAACGTTTTAGATTTTGGAGTATTTCAAGTTTCCAAGTTAGGAATGCTCATCATGTAAGTGTTGGTGAGGATGTGGAAAAATTGGAACCCTCATAAATTGCTGGTGGGAATGTAAAAATTGTGTAGCCACTTTGGAAAACAGTTTGGCAGTTCTCCAAGAGATTGAACATGTAGTAACTATAACACCCAGCAACTTCACTTCTAAGTATATACCCAAGAGAAATGAAAACATGTTTATACAAAAACTTGTATGCTAATGTTCATAGAAGATGTACCCATAATAGCCAAAAAGTGGAAAAACTCTAAATGTCCATCAACTGGTGAACGGATAAATAAAATATTATATATTCATACAATGGAATATTATTCAGCAATAAAAAGGAATGAAATGCTGATACATACTACAACACTGGCAAATCTTAAAAATATTAAGTCAGAGAAGCCAGATGCAAAAGACTAAAAATGGTTCCACTTACATAAAGTGTCCAGAACAGACAAATTTATAGGTTTGTGGCTGCCTGAGGCTGAGGGGATGAGGAGAATAGGGGATGACTGCTAAAGAGTACAGGGTTTATTTTTGGGATGATGAAAATGTCCTAAGATTCACTGTGGTAATGACTGCACAACTCTGTGAATATACTAAAACCCACTGAATTGTACACTTTAAATGTGTGAATTGTATGGTATGTGAATTATATCTCAATACAGCTGTTATAAAAAAAGTATAATAGAGGCTGGCCCATGGCTCACTTGGGAGAGTGTGGTGCTGATAACACCAAGGCTGTGGGTTGAGATCCCTATATAGGGATGGCCAGTTAGCTCACTTTGGAGAGCGTGGTGCTGACAACACCANATTAAATGATCAAATAAGATTTTACAGTGATAAAATGCACAATCCACCAAGAAGATTTAACAGCAATGAAGGTTTACATACTTAACAGTATAGCTTCAAAATATAAAAAACAAAAGCTGCTCAAATTACAAGAAGAAATGCATACATTCAAAATCATGGAGAGCATTAAACATACTCTTCAAACAAAGATGAAGAAACCAAAGACAAAAAATATCTAGAACTTTGAAATAAAATAGCAAATTTCATTTTTAAATATCCAAAATGTAGATAAGCCACAGAAGAATTTTAATAAATTGCAAAAAATAGAAATTATATGGGCCACATCCTCTGGCCATAATGCGATGGAAATGAAAACAAATAACAAAAGGGAATTTTAAAACACTCATGTTAAAACGTAAATGGAAGTTGAACAGACTATTAGAAATAAAGGACACTGGGAACATTACATACCAAAATCTGTAGGGTATGACCACAGCAGTACTTAAAGGAAAATGTGATCTTAGATCAAAAACAAGGTTAAAAGGCAAGCAAATGAAAAATGCTCAAAATCAATAATATTCAGGGAAATGCATTAACTCATTCCTTCAATATTTCTTGAGTGATATTCTAGCTGATAAATAACAATTATTACACATATGATGTAGTTTATTTGGTTTAGAGAATGAT